CTTATACCAGGCGTTATATTTATTTTCCTAATTATCTGATGTTGACAAAGAGCAGTGACGTAGCAAAAACCGCGGAATGATTTGTCGTGCGGTAACAAGCAGTTAATCGATGGTCGCCCACGCTACCCGCACTCACCGCGACCCACAGGACTTGTTTGCGCCATTTATAATTAAAAACTTATAACCATTATATTGCCTGCATTACGGTACTACACATGTTTTACAGGAGTAGTGTTCGACGAGGGACTGTAATTAAATTTAGTTCAATTAATTAGCGTTTAAATCTTGACAAGTACGATTTTAACTATTAATGTGATCTTATAGGCTAAAAACACTCACTGACAAACAAGAAAACAAACAAAGAGTATGTCAAAATAGTATCGAAAGTTTGAAATTGAAAGATAGAGTAAAGCTAGAAGAAATAAAGGCCATGACAAAATTTAGAAATGTTGTTACTTCTAGTAAAATATTGAAATGGAAATGGACAACACATTACAGATTACTGCTTCCTCGCTATGACAAAAGAAAATGACGAAGACAAATAAAAATATGGGAAGATGATATAAGAAGAGCAGCTGGCCTAATGTGGCTACGTAAAGCTAGAAACAGAGAAGAGTGGAAGCTCTTAGAGGAGGCCTCTGTCCAAGGACAAGTTGTAAAACAGAAATTAACCGGCTCGCCGATTAATTATTAATAGTGTTTGTAGTAGGTACATCACATTTTTATGTACTACTACAAGTATTTACAGCAATAAAGGCTATTATTATTATTATTATCTAATATATAAAATTCTCGTGTCGCGGTGTTTGTGGTTAAACTCCTCCGAAACGGCTTTCCCGATTCTCATGAAATTTTGTGTGCATATTGGGTAGGTCTGAGAATCGGACAACATCTATTTTTCATCCCCCTAAATGTTAAGGGTAATCCACCCCTAAAAAATTTTTTTTTTGATACAGCATTAAAAAATACATACAACCCCTAATTTTCACCCCTCTACGATCAACCCCTATTTTTTTATTATAAATGATATACATGGCAAATAGATGTTTGCCCGGTCAGCTAGTAGACTATAAAATTAAGTAACTGGACATGGCCTGGACAAACAGAATCCTCAACCTTTTTTTCAACATTTAAATTTGCTTTTTAATCAAGTATCCTCAAGAACTAAGAACTGATAAAACAACATTATTTTTGCGTTTTTCTTTAAAATTATTATCTCTTCAAAGAGTCGAAAATCCATGTCCATTGATTTGCACCAAAGTATTAACCTAAATATATTATCAATCTAGTAATCGAACCCAGTACAAGATAAAACATACACAGATGACATACGTATACTAAAATATCACAAAAAAATTATAGTAATTAAGTTAAGTTATTATTTATTATTCTTGGATATATAATAATTTCTGTTTCATCTTACACGCCTTTATATTCTAGTCATATAATATTAAATTATTCGTTGTTTGCATTGTTTAGCGTGTAATAATTTTTCGTTTTTGCAACATTTCATTTTTATTGAACTTTGTTGCAACGGATTATATTAAATTATGACTTCGGCACATCTCAAGTGAACAAAACTTAGCAGGGCATAATCCTAAATTACCATCAATAAAGAACCCAATAATTTGTTTACAATATGTACTAACAAAAACATAGATTAAAATCTTCTCAATGACTATTTGAAAACGGAAACAATTAAGAAAAACCACGTGGCGTCGGCCAGATCAAAGGTGGCGGCTTGTATCGAGTGACTCGGCAGGCTATAATATACCAGCTCGGTTCAGTCACTTCCAAAAGCGATAGCGATATCGATTCTGACGTTTTTGAATGTAATATAGATGGAGTTGTCTTATATCCATAGCGTTGATGTCGCAATATTAGGATTGCCCTGTACGCCAACTGAATCTGGATCGAAATCCTTATCGATATTGGAAGTTACAGAGGACTACAAGTCAGGGAAACTGCACTTCCTGAGACATTTCTGAAAAGGGCGCTTGTAGGAGTACTTTCTCGTGAAAAGGTACACTATGGAATTTTTATTGGGCGTATGTTTTGTATGTATACTTTTATAATTTACTTGCTGACTCGGCAAACGTTGTTTGTCATGTATATTAGGTATTTCAAGGAAACATTTTTTTTGTTAAATATAAATAACTATCTACAATAATAAAAAATAGGGGTTGATCGTAGAGGGGTGAAAATTAGGGGTTGTATGTATTTTTGTATCATAAAAAATAAAAACAATTTTTTTTTTCAAAGAAATAAAAGATTTTTTTTTGGGGTGGACATCCCTTATCACTTAGGGGTTTGAAATATTGATAGTAGCCTTAGTTCAGTAGTTCTCAGACTTACTGAATATGCATGAAAAATTTCATAAGAATCGGTCGAGCCATTTCGGAGGAGTATGGGAGATATATAATACACGAGAATTTTATATATTAGATTAGATAACGTCCTATTCTAGTCCTGTGCTTCTTTTCATCAGGGTTAACCATATTTCGGCAGATAGAAAGAGTTTTTATGAATAAGTACTAGGTCCATAATATGTGTTTGATTAGATTTATTTTTGACTTAAAATAAATTTATTTATAAACCTAATTAATACGTAACAGAGAAATCTGTGTGCAATTCGTGTTGCGAATAATTGAATTTTTTAATCTCACCATTTTTATGTTAATTACGATTTCTAAAACTTAATTGGTCTTTCTCCCAAATAATTAACAAGAATTAATGGCCTAGCCGTATTTATTTACGACTGGGTCTAAAAAATAAATTAAATTATCTATATTACCACACTGTTAAAAAAATTAGTTTATTTATATTCACCTAGATACTGAATAATATTTTAATTATAATTAATACCGTTCGTTCGTTTTAACTAATTATAACTACCATTTTGTATTCTATATAATATATATTTTTTATAGAACAAAGGGCAAAGGGGCAAGAGGCTCATCTAATGTTAAATGATACCGCCGCCCATGGACACTCTCAATGCCATAGGGGTCGCGAGTGCGTTGCCGGCCTTTTAAGAATTGGTGCTCTTTTCTTGAAGCGCCCTAAGTCGAATTGGTTCGGAAATACTTCAGTGGGCAGCTGATTCGTGCGTGCATAGAAACGCTCAGTTGTGGAACCAGCTAAAACTCAGTCTCATTATTTAAAGAAGAATATTTAGTTATATTAAGCGCTCCAGAAACTGTCTTCCAAGAAACAATATTAAGACAGTATAATAAATATCAATCCATTTTAATTGAATCTAATGCCATTATAATCCAAGAACTTTACCCACCTATCTACCATCGGTCATAATATTTCAACGGTAGCGAATGTATGGCGACAGACCGACAGATAAATTGCTTATAATTTATCGTTGTACGCCTCCTAATTACGGCGAACGGACGTTGAGTCATGGCAGAAAAATGATTTGTTGTTATTGCTGTGTATAACTGTAATCCTTAGTTAACTTTGTGATGTAAACATCTTTATGAGACTTTTACAGGACGTTGGAAGTATTGAATCCAACCAACCTTAAACTTATTAACGTGTTACTTTATAAAGTAAACGGACTGAATAATAATATGGGTAAATATTTACAGTAGCGCAAACTTCAGTAAAATCCAATACGTTTTTAACATAACACGACTCTGATTAATACTGCACTAGTAAAAAATATTATTCTTTATCAATCACCAGTTAACAAACATGTTAATTACGAACTAGTTACCGTACATTATACTACAGCAATGAAACACAAATTTCTGATGGCATCATAAGTAAATGACAACTAAGTGACAATTATTATTTCTTAAAAGACAAGACCCCAAATATTGCCTAGATAGGAACAGTTTATATCGGAAAATTAAATTGGCGTTTTTAGTATTTTTCTTTACTTATTATTTATGTTTCCCACCGTTTAAACTTTCCCTGAATTTCCACAAATATTTCAAGATCATTTGCCAAATCGGTCCAGCCATTCTCGAGAGCGAGACAAATGAACATCAATTATTCATTTTTATATATATAGAATTCGCATTAAAATTGTTTATAACTATCAAAGTTATTTTTTATGTTGGTGGGAAACAAAAATATAATTTTATTGACTTTAATAGTCTTGAATTAATGACGAAATGATAAAAGCGCTTTAAGGAATTATTTTAAAAATAAGTATGTTTGAAGGTCTAGTTAAAAATCAGTAGCGCTTCAAAAGATTGTTTAAATACATGAGTCTTGTTATTCACAGCCACAAGGATCGAAAATAAAAAACCGGAAATTCGAAATTAAATATTTACGTATATTTTTTCAATATTATGACCTTTATAACAACAAATTTTTATGTCAACAGATACCAATGCTTACATTATCACTTAAAAAATCTAGTGCTTGTTAACTGCTTTTGCTTTAAAACGTTTATTTATGACTTTAATCTTTAAAAGATTTCCGAACAAAAAAACGGTGCCACTTTAAACAACATTAAAATGTAAATTTTTAATTTAAGTGTGTTCGAGGCTATAAAGATTTTATCAGAGTGAGATTTAAAGCTCGCTATTCAAATAATAGCAGCGTTTTATTGCGGTAACATTTTATCATTTAGCGCATAGCGTATCCTTAATTAATTGCAAAGATATGTGAGTTAATGTCTAGCCAAATAAAGTGGATATTAAAAATACAAACACATTCAACAGTCCTCGCTAACAAATAAAATTAAAAACTATTTTAATTACACACTAGATTTGGTACATAAAATTTCGTTAATCTAACTATAAACGAAAGTCCACGCTCGCGGAATGAAGCGAGTTATCAGTGCACAATAACATCACGAATTAAGTTAGAGATCACAGCTGTCGCGCCCCACTGGGCAATGTCTGATGATATGAGCCGACTGGAAACTTGAAGAACACTACCCTATATTTACATTATCTCCAGTTTCATGGGTCCTTTTGGCATGGGCGTTAGTGCTCGGCGCCCCCTTTTTTGTTTATGTGGAGCGCCGATGGTCCTCAAGGATGCAGTGGTCTCGGTCCAAATAATGGGTAAGATGGAAAATATGCAGCCAGTGAAGGATGGGGCGGCAGCGGGAAAGGTAACGGTGGTGACGAGACGAGGTGAGACGGCTTGCTGTACGGATGAAACCTTGGCGTCAATGGCGATAAGGGAGGGGTTGGATATGTTCGTTGTAAGAGCGGATGTGTCGCACTCAACATAGATAGACTAGGACTTGATTCGCCACTCGCCGTGTGTGACCGTAAGTGTTGTAAAAGCTCGTCGGATGTCGCGAAGCGTTTTCCGCAATAAGCCGTGTCTCCAGCCATCCAGCTACATACAAAAGGTAGTTGGGAGGCAGCTGCCAGTGCTGCTAGCTGGGCGTGGGCATATGCTGCCGCCGCGGGGTGACCGGATGGTAAAGAAAACGGCATTTTAGCGTGGTCACACTGCGTACAACCCGCTGGGCACACCGCCGATTTGAGCAAATGCGAACTTAATGAACAGCCAGTGCAGTATGGATCTCTACATATTCCTAAATCACTTCCGGGTTGCTTCATTCTTGCGTAAGCTAAGTACGGGTTCAGACCATTTTTTAAGGCATGGTGCTGGGCAGCCATGAGACTACTAGTCATAAGATCCATGGACAGAGGAAAGCCTGAAGGAGGTAGTCCTCCTAGAAATGGCGATGAAGAAACAGGTACGCTCGGTTTGAAACTTGAGTGTTCTTTGGTTTCTGTACTGGACGTTAGACTACTTGAGTATGGTAACTTGGACGATGAATTAGTTGAGTCAGAATTTGACTTCACCTGAGCTGCCGGTGAGGACATAGGACTCGACCTTTCTTCAGATTTTTCTGATGGTGTTTTACGATGCGAAGGGGGCGATGTTCTTAGAGACGATGAGCTTTGGTTGCTATTGCATCGAGCTTGAACTGGGGTAGTCGATGCGCTTCCCTTCGAAGATGGTGTCTTCGATTGGGGGTTAACAGAAGCTCTGTCCTCAGGTGTCCGAGTCTTTTCTCTCGTCAGGCACGATTCGTAAGGCTTGAAACTAGGTTTGTTATCTACGTGTACCGATTTTTCATCGTATTTCTTGCTCGCTTTTTCAGCCGCAGAGATGAGTTTCGGGTTCGGTGAGTCAGCGCCGATAGCGCTGCAGGTTTGCGCCAGTAGTGCTAGCGGGCTCTTTTTCGCGTCGAGCTGTAACAAAGAAGTTATGGAATGAAATAGCGGTTTGCGAGTGACAGCACAAAGGGAGTCTGGGGTGCTGGGCGGAGGGAGAGGGAGTCCAATCACGCGGTCGACGCGCCATTATCCGCGCGTCTGGCAGCCGTCGGCCCCGCTTGACATTTCACTCGGCTCCCGCATGATGTAATCTCGCAGTGAAAAGGCCAATTTGTGCCGCTGAATTTGCGGCACGCCTGAACTTGCCGAGCTGTCACGTCTATTATCACGGCAAAGCGTTAGCTCGAGTGGGAATTGCGTCGCAATATTATTTTACATTTCGGAATTTATATGAACGTTTACTGTGAACGTAATAACAATTTAATTCCGTACTTTGAATAACTGAATAGACTTCGTATACTTTCGTGGTTTGAGACTATTCTTGTAAGATGAATACAACAATAACTATATTAAAATAAATTATTATGAAAGAGTCTAACACAAATTTTAATAACTTTTATTTAGTGTTAAAACATAAAATTGGACCAAAGATTAAAGTTTAATCAATAATGTATTCTGTATCAAATTATTAACCTTAAAAATCCATTGGTTACAAATATTATTCATGCAATTTGAATTATTATTATTATTGTGTGATTTGTTATACCTATGAGTTCTTTGTTTTTACTTTTTAAATGTATATTATAATAACTTAATGATTTATGCTCAGGGATGTCGCGAAACATAATTTAAAATGTGGTTAACGATCTTGTTTACAATAATATATTTTTTTTAAATTTATTTCATAAACACAGAACTATCGACATGAGATTTCTCTTTCAAACCTCCTACTAGGTTCCTACGTAAACAGTTTACAATTTTTTAGTTTGTCAATAAATCTAATTTAAAAATTTAAAATTATTTTTTAATATTAATTACGAAATTGACTCACAATGTTTTAAATAAACTTGTAAAATTGGAAAAAGAACTTCTGCCTATTTAAATATACATATTTCCTAAACATGCTAATGGACAGCAATATCAGAAACTTTTTAATAGTTTTATTTGTGTATTTTTTGTAACATAGTTATGACTTTGATTAACGAGCTCAACGTTCCGTGTTATTAACCTTCTTTACGTCATTAATCATATTAAATAGACCGTTTCATTTGTAATGTGTAGTTTCAAATCAAATCACTATGAAAAATACAGAAATCTAATAAAAACAAAATTTACATTTAAATGTTTTTGTAGAACGATAGCAACGCATTAAAAAGGCAATAAAATAATTTTGTGTGCAATAATAATTTACGACTGCGATAAATCTTTGGTCATTTGCATTTATTAATACTTAATTAACAATTTTAGTAACCTTGAGACGTTTTAATTGCATCGTTAATTACTTAATCGTAATTTATTCACGAATGGGAATTATAATAATGATAGGTGATAAATGCCTATGAATAAGGAATAGTTTGGTTTTATGAAAAACCAATATAGACGCAAAACATACAACTCATTAGAAAATTTGAAACTAACCGTTGTTGGCAGCGGCGACAAATAATCAGGTCTCAAATACTGATTGCTTGAAGTGAGCATGTTGCTCCACAGTAAATTATCCTTCTCCAGTTTAAATCACTTATTGACACTTCACGATCCAATTCACATCACTCACAACACAGTCGCGTAACACGTACAATCCGCTAGAGCGTTGACGGCGGACTGACGACTGAAGCGCCCTGCGCCCCCCTAGCTGTTTGTCACTCGTCGCCACGCCATTTTTGCGCTGTGTACTTTGCGGGAGCTTTGCGTCTTATCCCCACCGCGCTTTGACACCCTGTTATGTCTCGCTCGCGCGCGGGAAAAATTACTAGAACGCTTTCCGTTTTGATGAAGGGATTATATAAAATATGCAGCGCGGTCAAAGGCGATGCGACGACAGAGATGCATCGTCCGGGAAATTGAATAGCTGTGGAGAAACGGCCGCGCCGCGGTGATCATTTAGTTTAGCGTCAACGCCTTAAATTGCTGTTTACTATAATGACTTTATTAAATTACAATATTATTACCGATTAATAATCGAAACTGGCTAAGCTATTAAAACAAAATTATACTGAAACTTCGTCTGTCAAATCTTTGAGATTAAATAAGTTCATTTCCCGGTGACTTTTAATATTTTTTTGTGTGTTATTCAAATATAACATCTATTAGTTCTCATCTTAAGGAACTCACTTATATAATTACTTTGAATCGTTTTATTACCTTATACTAACTTGCATAATCCTCTCAGGTACCTTGCCTTAAACCGTCGACCACCCCGAGGGGTAAAAATTACCAGTCACTGTTTACATGGGTAAAAAGGACTAGTCATCTAACTAAATCTTGGTATTAACAGAAATTATCGTAATGATTTTATTGTTTTGCTTTTTAAAACATCTTTCAATACAGTACAATGTATTGTTCAGTTATTTACCTGTCTTTTACTTACGTTTTTTGTAATTATTTAAGATGGATTATACTCTTGTATACTTAGATGGAAATCTTTTGTGAAGGTTATATATTTGTGACTTGTAACACTTCTTTTGTAGAAGTATTATTTATAATCTGCGTCTTAAAGGGGATCATACAAAGGTAAATTAAGTGTATTTAAAAAATGTCATTTATGTTTAGCTTTCCATTAATAGTAGCAATCAGTTTAACAATTAAACGATTTTGGTTTCTGAACGCTAGGTGTTTGTTAATCTAAGATGATCTTTGAAATGTTTGTATTGTCTTATCTTAATTTACAGATTAAGAATCAATATCAAATATAAATTCACTATATGTATTTATTACAGATAAGGTAAAAACATCTTTTCTAACATATATGACTATTATCGTAAACTTAAACTATAAAAAAAAATACTAGCAAAATAGTGGTTTAGGTATCAGATAACGAACGGTTAAGGAACTTAACAATTCTTTTTTTAAATTCATCAGCCCAGCCGGAACGTATCTGCTTTGTTATATGTTATTAAAGTCATTTTGATAATTTGCCTTAATAGACTATCCGATTATAAGAAAGTGGAATAAAAATTGAAGTGAGAAAATTGTGTTGTAAAAAGTGAACAATTACCAAAACAAGCGCATGATATTTAATGCTTGTAGAGGTTTTTTTACATCTGATAAAAACATCGTTGTAGGGATATTACTTTTTATTATAAATTTATTTATTTACACTTCGTTATGTTAAAAGAAAAATTATAACATACAAAATTTAAAGCGATATCTTCCAGGCAACCCCCAGTAAGGAAAAAACTAAAAAAAGAAATATTAACGGTAAAAGGTATTTTAGTACCTGTTGCCTCTATATCAAGGTAACGTTTAAAAGTATAGTTGACTTAAGCAGTGAGTACTAAAATAATATACGCGTTTTCTTTATTAACTGTAGTTATATTGAAACAAATAATTCAATAATTGATTGAGCCTGCCTTTTGAATTTTACTACCCTTGGGTAGTGAGATATAATATCTATCTTGTGTGGCGGCCACAATGTCATATAGCATATGCCTCGTTTCACGCTAGTTACGCCGACATTAATCAACAAGCCCCTGCAACATAGGGTTTACACTACGTACAATTAATACCAAGGCGGACTCTTACACATTTTTATTAATATTATCATTAAAGGTCGCTAAACAAACGTCTAGGACAATCCTGTGAAACCCTTTTCAGTAGTTATTTCTACTCTATAGATTATTATTTTAATTCTATATATCGTTTTTACTTCGTAAAGTAAGTTATTTTTTTAGCATAACTTAACAGTTGTTCACTCTAAACTTCGGATCGATTTCCAACGATCCCCTACAATTCTATAGATGTTAAATTAATGTTCTCAAAATCATATAGTATATACATAATATATTCATAGTTTTGTCTTTTTATTCCCAAACACAATTCTCAACCCTATAACATCAAACGAGCCGTCTCACAACTGGACGTGTGTGACGTGGCTACTGTCGCTTGATTGGACAGAAATATCATGACAGAGATCTACAGAGCAGCTACGTGCTTCGGACGTTCGTCGATTATAGGCTGCTCTGTGGAATTCATTAAAATGTTGTACTAATGGTCGTTTGTATTAAAATTTGATTCAAAATTATAATATACCCGATCAATGTTGATAAATACATTTAATTGTAAAACACTATGTTATGTGTACACAGTATTAACGTACGGACATTACAAATACTCTCAATACAACCAAGTCAAATCATGGAATATTTGATTACCTATATGAAAATTACTTGTATTTTCGTTATATATTTTTAAATCTGTAATTTAATTTCTTTTAATATGTAAAACGTTTTTAGGTCTGGACCTCAGATTTCTGAATCTGTTTCATGATCATTTGTCAATCTAATAGACAAGTTGGTGATTAGCCTCCTGTGCCTGACCTCCGTGCCTCCCGTCATTTTGGGTCTAAGGCAAGTCGGTTTCCTCACGATGTTTTTGTTCACCGTTCGAGCGAATATTAAATGTGCACATAGAAAGAAAGTACATTGGTGCACAGCCGGGGTCGAATCTATGACCTCAGGGATGAGAGTCGCACGTTGAAGTCACTAGGCCAACTCCGCTCTTCTTCTGTGAAAGCCCAAACAATACACAATACCCTTCTTCTATTACTTAATGAATATTTTCGAGGATATAATTTGTCAGCCGTCAGATAAAAGGGCCGACAGTCTGCTACTGGCTACCGAACACCATGACTTGCATTTTTCAGATAATATGAATACTATTTTAGGTATTTATGTATCGTTCTTTAAGATACTAGTTTGAACCTGCTAGTTAGCGCATTAATTACGCCCCAAGTTACTATTTTATACAATTAAGCTAACCTTTTATAAGCTTAACTTAAGACTAATAAGTAATTTACTACTAAGGATATTTAACATAAGAAAGTGTCCAAAAACACTTACAGTCTCTATTAAGGGGAAGACACTCTGTTCTTGTGTTCTATTTTTTCACTCACTGTTTAGCACTTAATACTAACGTGCACTAACACTAATTGAAATGGTTTTGTTCTTCACAATCTTCTCACTAGGCCCGTGGTGTCAAGAAGTTGAATAGCCTCGACATTCACGGGATGCTGGAACCTTTGTTCGTGGGCTCCAGCAGTGTTGATTATTGTAGCTATATCTTCTACATTAAGGTCCCGATGGAACTCGTTAATAACAGTTAACTTTTTATAGATTACTAAGCCTCACTCACACATAGATAGAATTAGGATTAAGATATAAAGAACAGCGAACAATACGTTATTCGTGTTATCTCAAAGATCTGCACTAACACAAGCTGACTGCGCGACAAATCTCATCTCAAAGTGTTAATCTTTTAAGGGTTGGACCACATCACTTTAAAAAGTAATTGTGACACTTCACGTTATGCGTTTATTGGATGGATTTTTGTAATATAATTATTTATTTATTACCTAGTTGTTACCCACCACCAATGGTACTATCTAAAAATTAAGTAATATTATAAATATGTCATATTCATTTGTATTACTGCACAACGAGATTTAGTAAAAAAGTGCGTATTATAGTGTTTATTAGAAAGATATATCTTATTTTAAATCAGTGTATTTCGTTTTTAAGTACGCTTCCCAGTTTACACGAAAATGTCAGGTTCAACTAGATTTATATAAAATGCAGATATTAAGTTGTGTTTATAAAATAAATTGGAATCCTGATAGACTATATATTCCTTCTTTTTGAAAAAGTTTAACCTTTAAATTCGTTTGATCGATTTAAATTATGAAGTGTTCAAAGAATTTACCTTAGGATAAAAATATGTATGTTTATAATTTATGTTTCATCAGCCAACTGCCAAAGCCATTTTTATGTATGATATTATTGAAAAAGATAACCTAACCTTTCTTCAACCTTATTATACAGTGTAGTGTCGTAGCACCCTTGCACTTTGGCACAAAACATCGGAAAAACCTGCTTATTGTGAAACTTCGAATTACAAGTTGGCACTAGATAAGAAATACTTATTTCCTTTTAATCTTGATAACATTTGAAATGTGTTTTATACAGACCACTTAGTAAATTACCATTTACATTTAAAAAATCCTCTTCTATTTTGATAAAACTGTGTCTCGCGGTTTTGCCTGCATTCATTCACTGCGAGGGTTTTCTTATAAAACTAATATTTTTTTGGGTTTTGTAATTTTAATTCTTTTACTTAATATTCGTATTATCTCTGTGTGTATGTCCTGTTTTCCTATAAGTGTTTGTCATATTAAAATTGGTATATTAAGGTTCTTTTACTAATGTATCAGTGTGCCGAGCGTTGGAAAACTTTTATCAATAAAAAATAAATAATTGACGTTACAAAACCTGAAAAAAATATCCTCGTACACGCGTCATATTATATTTGTTTTCCTATAAGTCCATAGCTCTCTTAACCCACTATAGAGAGCATAATTCACGGATCCACTCATTTCATAGTAAACAGCGAGAAGCTCCATTTGCACCAACCCTTTTGTAAGAATCGATTTGAATGTGATTGTAATAACTCTACGGAGGCAGTGCAGAAGGCACAATGTAGCTGCT